AATGAATCCTTAACTTTGAAATCAGTACGATAAACTTTATGCCTTCTACAAAGAAAGAGTGAGAACAAATTTTATAAATTACACTTGAAATATTGTTAAAATTGTAATTATTATTGATTTGCCTGTGATTTTTTTTTTTAAATAGCAAAAAATATCTTTACAAGGTAGATAACAAAATATAAGCCTTCTCATTAAATTATTTATTTTTGTGTTTCGGTGACGACAAATTTGGAGAGAGGAAAAATATTCGAAAACTTTCTGAAAATACAATATGATAATTCAAGACGTTTCCAAATCCGACTTTGAACTAATTCTGTAGAATGGCCAAAACACACACACACACACACACATATATATTTCAAAAATAGATGAAGAATCCACACAAAAGAAAAGTAGTGGTTTTTGCAAATCAGTTTGCTTTTTATGTGCTTATGTGATTAATATATCATTAAAAACAAAAGAAACTGGCCAATAATAAAACACACACACGGTTTTTAACTCTGCTTATTTATTCTACAACACTTAAACATAAATGATCGTCCAATAAACACTCCAGAACACATTCAGCGTAATGCACATGTACTGCAGTTGATTGATAGAAGTCAGATAATAAACAGCATGTAGTAAACAAGTATGAGCGCACCCCCTCCAAAGCACACACTAACATATCCTCACCAGAGTACTTCAAATAATAGATATATGCTTGGTGCATTATGGGATGATTACAGGGAATGGAGTGGCATTATGAACTATTACACATTTTAGCTTGTATTTTCATGTTTGCACAACATAATCCATAGTGTTTTCCTATGGATTTAGACAGAGAGCACTGAAGGTTTAGTCTCAAACCAACATTCTCTAAAAATATCCCTTAGAGTTTATAAAGTCCTTATTTTTGCACAGACAAAATCTGTTGAAACAGAACGTTTGTGCTAACCGACTCAAAACAGACAGATGTAGACTAGACTTCAGTGTGTACCTAGAAAAAGAAGAAGAAGAACAAAGAAAATGAAAACCTGGACTCTTTGTTTTGCTGAAAATAATAGTTTTCCAGAATTCAATCTTAGTCTTTGGTCCCTTTCAACATCCGGTTTAATCTCCCCCTGGTGTTTATGCCAAGCAACCGAATATGAGCAAAACGAGCTAAAGATTACACAACATAGGCTGTGTGTGCACTGGATACATGTAAAGAGTATGTGTGTATGGTCCAGATTCTCATAGTTCCCATTGCACATAATGAAGTGTACAGCACAATAGCCTTTTCGGAAATAACTGTATATGAATTACATAACATTTCTTTGTAACTTGTCGAGCAAATTTCTCTTAATAACATTAAGCATCACAAAATAAATATCCTTTTTCACGCGCACATAAAAATCAACATATACATAATGCATGCAGATGATTGAAGACAAAAATGAAAAGTCAAAACAACTGCAGTTCTACATCGATGAATAAAATATATTTGGGATAAAGCGTTAAAATTGTAAGTGCAAACATAAATAGACTGTAAATAGTCTCCAGTTAAAAGATCCCTAAACCGTTGGGAGATAATAAGTGGCTTTTAGGTTTTATAAAAACTACACTTATTGTAGATTTTATTTCTCACTCTTTTATTCAAGTTTAGTCAGACGAAGTGTTGTTTGGTGAACTTAGATTCCCGTTGGATTATGGGTAGTGGGATCTATGGCACAGTTTCTGACTGGATGGACATTGGATATTAAACAGCTTTCAACACATCCTTAAACTATGCTCATACTACCAAATGACAATGTCTTCTAGTGAATTAAATATCTAACTTAAGCCAATTCCTCCGAAAATTTCTATTTTAAGGCATTGTATAATATGTACATGAACTAATACCACCATAAAACTGCATTTAGCAAAGCACGAGTTCATGCTTTAGATATATGAATCAAAGCATTGACGAAAGTGCATTAAGTTCATTGAGCAATGACTTTAACTGGTTGAAATGTTCATATAGATGAGAGGAAAACAACATAATTCTGTATATGGCACATAAACATTCAGAGATATAAATAAATAAAAATATAGATTCTGAATATAACAGCATGGATGTTGAAGAACATTCGCAGAAGGGTTTGGTATTACACAGAGATCACTGTGTGCACTACGGTAAAAAGAGTTAGCAAAGTTGGACGCCACAGGACACATGAGTGAAGAGTAAAGCACACGATTACAGGATGATGTCATACACGCGCCCCACTCGCCCGAGCCACTCGCGCACCGCCTGCCTCACTCGGAGGTCGGTCACATGACAGGTCAGCTGACTGATGCAGGGGAACACGGCTGGCTGGAGGGCCATGAACGTGGGGTCCGGCAACACCTGGATCTGGTTCAGGATCGTGAGGACCATGTTGGTCCAGGCCTGGGCAGGAAAATCCACACAACATAAAATATTCATAAAAGAATATCAGTCCCATACAAGAAGTCTCCAAGTCTAAAAAATAACGCAATTCTTTTGCTGAAAGTTCTGTAATTTGACTCTATATTCTTCTGTTTAAGGCACACTGTGGAACTTTTCAACCTTTATAATATATTACCAAAACCCACTGAGATGGTACTTCGACTTACAATAGGTTGAATGACACGTCTGCCGTAGCCTGAAGGTATCTGTATCGCTTTTACTAGCACTATGTAACTTCAGGTTTCGGGTAGGAACCCGAGCACAAAAAGAACTACAAAATTCGACCGCTTTACGGCATACGTCACCTACGTCACCCCCAACTTCCTCAGATTCTGACGTGAGTCCTCAACATGCGTTTGATTGCCGTCTGAATGTTTTCGTCACGGTTGACTGTTTGTTGACTTTTGCGACAGTGCTGCGGAGCGTGTGGCCTCTAGGGACGCTAGACGTGAAAGTTACAGGTCGAGCGCCACTAGTGGCCAAAAGTTCCGCGGTGTGCCTTTAAAGGAGTAGTTCACCTCAAAATGAAAATTTCCTGATAATATACTCACCCCAATGCCATCCAAGATGTGCATGTCTGTATTTCTGTCTATTTCTGTCTATTTCTTTCTTTCTTTCTTTCTTTCTTTCTTTCTTTCTTTCTTTCTTTCTTTCTTTCTCTCTTTCTTTCTTTCTTTCTTTCTTTCTTTCTTTCTTTCTATCTTTCAGCTAAAGTTACACACCGTGTCCTAACTACACGCGACGCGACGCACGATAAAAGGTATCTTTTCCATGTTAATCTGAGTTTTTGTCCTAACCAGACGCGACGGCGACACGTGAAGTTTCTAATTTAGAAACGGTTCCTATTTCTGCGACGTTGCGGCTGACAGAATGAAGAAATCACACTGGTTATGAGTATACATTATTTGTTTTTAGTTAAAAATAGGTCACTGTGCCACAAGCGATAACGGATAATTTACCTCAGATTTTGAAAGCATGTAATATAGCGTTCAAAATGAATTCTATGCAAACATACAACTGTTCTTCATCACAAAATTAGTCAATGAGTATATTTTGTTAATGTTTTGATTTTTAATAATGTTATTTCTTAATTTGATTATGTCCTTACCCATTTCCAATGCGAGTGCGGGCCAACAGTGCGCTTTCACAGAGAGACTGTGCTCACACCATAGGCACAGTCACAGTCGCGTCGCGTCTAGTGTGGACAGACACATTTGCTGTCGCTGGAATTTTATCGCGTCGCGTGCAGTTAGGACATGGTGTTAGTTTTGTTTAATTCCCTTCCATTGAAATGATCATTTGTTATTAAATTAGGGTCCGCTAAGATGACAGCGTTCTCTCTAAACAGACTTTAAACTGAACCTGTTATAAATGCTGATGGCGTTCACATGCGCATTAAAGGAGTAGTTCACTTTTGAAAAAACTTACTTTACTCACCCCCATGTCATCCAAGATGTCCATGTCTTTCTTTCTTCAGTCGAAAAGAAATTAAGGTTTTTGATGAAAACATTCCAGGATTTTCTCCATATAATGGATTTCAATGGGAACCAAACGGTTCAAGGTCCAAAAGACAGTTTCAGTGCAAACTGTTCAAAGGGCTTTAAACGATTCCAGACGATGAATAAGGGTCTTATCAAGCGAAATGATCGCTCATTTAATTAATAAATAAACAAAGTTTAAGTTTTATAAGCTCTAATGCTCGCCTTGCTCTGTTCTGTGATGAGCGTTCGTGATTCTCCTGTTTGAAATCGTTCAACAAAATTAACAAATCTTTTTTCGAGTGAATTTGTTCATTTCGTTCATTGAATAAACCAAATGACTCGGAAAAAGATTTGTTCATTTTGATAAACGAGTTCAAACAGGAGAATCACGAACGCGCATCACAGAACAGAGCAAGGCGAGCATTAGAGCTTATAAAATGTAAACTTTGTTTATTTATTAAATGAGCGATCGTTTCGCTTGATAAGACCCTTATTCATCATCTGGAATCGTTTAAAGCCCTTTGAACTGAAACTGTCTTTTGGACCTTGAACCGTTTGGTTCCCATTGAAGTCCATTATATGGAGAAAAATCCTGGAATGTTTTCATCAAAAACCTTCATTTCTTTTCGACTGAAGAAAGAAAGACATGGACATCTTGGATGACATGGGGGTGAGTAAATTATCAGCAACAGCTTTTTTAAAAGTGAACTACTCCTTTAAGAAACTGATTCTATAGTTATGTGCGTTTCAGTTGTAATTCCCTATAAACCAGGCCTACACAAACTACTAGTCTTGCCTGTAAGTTTTGAGTGTATTTGGTCTCACCTGTATCTGTGCCTCAGAGTCTCTGATGGAGATGTTGTGCGAGCTGGCGGCGGAGCCCGATCGGGTCCTCTTCTCCTGCCTCAGGAGCTCGGGCCCCGCGCTGAAGGAGTGTCTCATCGGCCCCTGCTCCACCAGTTGCTGAGGCCTCGGGGGTCCCGGGGGGTCCGGCCCGCGCAGGGTCCCCGCCTCGCCCCTCTTCTCTCCGGCGTCTTTGGGGAACACAGGGTGATTGTGCTGCTGCTGCTGCTTGCGTTTCTTGTACTCGATCATGAGTTTGCTGAGGGTTTTGTCGGTGGCGATGGTGTACAGCTTGTTCCCCGCACTCTCCCACCACTCCTTCTTACGGGCCCGTCTCTCCGCTCTCCTCTCAGCTGGGGGACATTTGCACTCAATCCACCGGGACTGTGGATCTCATCCGAGGGCGTTTCGTCGAGGTGAAGGCGGACACTGTCCTCTGAGGGCGTCCCGTGACCCGACGGGCCCCCGGTCGAGGGCGTGGACGTCTCCGAATTAAAAAGCGGTAAGAAAAAGAGCGGGTCGGCCCGGTGTGTGGGTTGTTCTCCTAAACTGCTCTCCAGGTCCAGGTGCATCTGGATGTAGTTGTTGCACGAGTCCATGCAGAGCTTGTGCAGGCGTTTGACCAGCCAGGCCCAGTCCGCGCCGCTGGAGGGCTGCGTGCTCAGAGACGGGACGCGAGCGTGCCACTGACGCTTCTCCCGCGCACGAGGAGGACTCACCTGGGCCATCTCCTCGAAGATATCCTCGTCCTCGGAGGAGCACTGCTGGGACGAGTCTGAGCCGCCCTCCTCGTCCTCACTCAGGATCTTCTTCACCTGCTCCACCGTCATGTTCTCCTGGTTCGTCAGCATTGCACACAGCAAAGCCTGAAGTGCACAAAGATATTCACCAGTTAAATCACTTGACAGACACACGCCTTTGGTGTAAGAGAGCCGGGTTGGAATCCACTGTGAGACACTTAACCCCTAGTTGCCCCAGAGGCGTGCGACCTCTGACATATATAGCAGTTGTAATGCTACGTTCACACCGGACGCGAATGACGCGTCTAGTTTGACGCTTGACCACTTTGTGTTAAAGGGATAGTTCACTTTGAAATTAATATTTGGTATGTTTTATCTTACCTCAAGGGCATCCAAGATGTAGGTGTCTTTGTTTCCGCAGTAGTTTCAATTTTGATATTTTTAGGTCAAACTGTTCTTTAATGGAGGTCTATGGTCACCACCTCAAAGAGCATGCACAGAGAAGTCCAAATTAAACATGCTTTAATGACTCGTAAATGTAAGTACACATTGATGGCCTAAGACACGAAACGAGCGGTTTGTGTGAGAAAACGAACAGTGTTTATATCGTTTTTACCTCGTGTAATCCAAGTGACGTCCAAGTGATCTGAATCAGTTGTGCAATGTCCAACTGAACCGAACTGAATCAGTTCAATGTTACGCCGGAAGTGATCGCTTGCGTGTGACGTCACTCAATATTTACACAATATTTACATATTTATAACATTGAATATAAAATGAACATGTCTCGTATATAGAAATAGTTTTAAGTGATAAAATATTTGCTTTGTTGTGCATAAGAACCACACCAGACATTTAGTCATATTACAAAATCATTTATTGAAGCATCCAGATAGTTCACCGCGTGAGTAAGCAGCTAGGCTCCTGATTGGTTAACGTGGCGCGAATTGACGCCAAAGTCCAGATTTTTCAACTCGGGCGGCAGATGCAAATTCGCATCAAACACGTCAAATCATTCACGCGTAACGCGCCAGACGCTCAATTCAAATGATTTGACTATTCGCGTCCGGTGTGAACGCACCATAAGTCGCTTTGGATAAAAGCGTCAGGTAAATGAATAAATGTAAATGTAAATCTCGAGCAGCAGCAAAACTGACAGGGTTATATATATATATATATATATTGTTTGCACATGAATAATTCTTCAATAAAAACAAAACAAAAACACAAAAAAACTTGTTTCTGCGTCTTCTTCTCCTGTGTTTTGATCTAGAGATTCTGCACTCTTTCAGAAGATGCGTAATAGCGCCCCCTACCATTTACAATTTTTACAATTGGAAGCTGTATTAAAGGATTAGTTCACTTTTGAAAAAACTTTTGCTGATAATTTACTCACCCCCATGTCATCCAAGATGTCCACGTCTTTCTTTCTTCAGTCGAAAAGAAATTAAGGTTTTTGATGAAAACATTCCAGGATTTTTCTCCATATAATGGACTTCAATGGGAACCGGATGGTTCAGGTCCAAAAGATAGTGTTAATAACAGTTTCAGATGCAGCTTCAAATGTCTTTAAACGACACCAGACGATGAATAAGGGTCTTATCATGCGAAACGATCGGTTATTTCAAAACTTATTCCAAAAATGTAACTTTTCTAAGGACAAATGCTAGCCTTGTAATATATTGTGAGGCGCGTTTGCAACGTCACGTAATACGTAATTATGTTCAAAAGGTCACGGGCGACGTAGCCGGAAGTACAGAATCAAAATCGTCCGACATCGTTGTTTTAAATTTTAATTCCTTTTTTGTAAACGGCGTTTGAGTTAGTTTTCACGTTCAACCTATGCGTTCTACTTGTAAACACTCTGACTCTGTACTTCCGGCTACGTCGCCCGTGACCTTTTGAACGTAATTACGTACTACGTGACGTTACAAACGCGCCTCACAGAATGGAGAAAGGCTAGCATTTGTCCTTAGAAAAGTTACATTTTTGGAATAAGCTTTGAAATAACCGATCGTTTCGCATGATTATTCATCGTCTGATATCGTTTAAAAACATTTGAAGCTGCATCTGAAACTGTTATTAACTGTCTTTTGGACCTTGAACCATCCGGTTCCCATTGAAGTCCATTATATGGAGAAAAATCCTGGAATGTTTTCATCAAAAACCTAAATTTCTTTTCGATTGAGGAAAGAAAGACATGGACATCTTGGATGACATGGGGGTGAGTAAATTATCAGCAAAAGTTTTTTCAAAAGTGAACTAATCCTTTAAAGGCCTATTTTTGTAAAACATATTTGTCAATATAAAAATTTCCCTGCAGCTCACATTGTTTTGTCCCTGTTTATACCGAGGCAAGAATGTAAATGTACCTGAAAGTAGATATTGAAGCTCATGGCAGATTGGCGGTATAAGTTGGCAGCTCCACACACCCCCGACACTTTCATGAGCAGATACTTGAGTCCGGGACGCGTGTCGAACTCCCGCGCTGTGCGGTACGAGTCCAGCAGCAGGTCAAAGATGATGGCCAGGTTCTGCATGGAGATGTAGCGGAGAAAGCCTGCGCCTCGGGGCTCCGACACGGCCGGGACCCTGGCCTGGCCCTCAGGGACCCCGGAGCCCTTCACAAACTCTTCCAAGAGGATATCATACAGGTTCTGGAGGAGCACCTGATGGGACAGCAAACTCACCACCAGAGTCCTGAAGGGAATCCTGCACAGAAACAGTTCGCCTTAAGTTCGCACAGTTCGCACATCTTCGCATGCGTTTTTTTTTCGTATTCGTGATTCGGTGGCTCTGAATCGTCAAAACACCATTCGAACGGCTTGCTACGGATGCGAAAACACAGAAAATCGAACCCGATGCGATTTTTTTTATGACGAACGAGAGTTTCGGAGGGAGTGTGCAAGCGTGATTGACATAACGTGAGGTCGTATTTTTTTTTTTTACGTGCGAAAATTAAGACCGATGTCCTAAAATTAACTTTCTTTGTTTCTATTCCATGCCCTGCATACTTTGTTATTAGGGATGCACGATATATCGGTATCTGCCAATATATGTTCATTTTTTATGTTATCGTTATCGCCCGATAAGAAAATTTGGCTGATATATTTAAGTATTTTTTTAATTGCTTGAAATATGATTGGAATCACTTCAAAAACAACATAAAACAGACTACATAAAAAAATATGTACCTTTTAATGGTGAGACTTTTGTAATCAGGCTCTCAAAAATGATATAAAAATTTGAATTTAGATTTATCGGCCAGAATATCTGTAATCGGCTTTAAAATACAAAGAATTATCGGTTTTGGCCAAAATTTTCGTATTGGTGCATCCCTAATTGGTATACAAAATATCAAAACAAATGCAGTGTCATGCAGTGTACAACCCTGTTCTGTAAGTGATAAATGTTGTTTATATGTCTATGTGGTGTTTTTAACCGTGTTTTCTCAAAAACACAGTTTGACAATGAAATCGCTGGTGAACCAATCAAATCAACTTGTGATCGTCAACCAGTGGATCTCTGAGTGAGTGAGTGAGTGGAGGCGGGGCTCATTTGCATATTCATAGAACTGCAAATACTAAATGAGGCAAGGGTGTCGAATTACATTCAAGCTATTTTAAGGCATGACACATTTTTTACAGGGATCAAAATGAGTTTAAGGAATAAAATGATTGACTACAGGGAGACTTTAAAACGTATGGAACTCCTTGCCCACTGAGTTGAAGCAGGACTTAAATCTGGGGGCTTTTAAAAATGAATTAAAGCGTATTTTAAAAAGCGATCAATTATTCAATTATGCAATCATTGATAGTTTGCGCACACATGCACTTTTTTTTATTTTTTATGCAATGTTAGATTTAAGCAATGATCTTGTAAATGTAAATGTATTATTTGTGTACTGTAATTATGTATGTACTGTTATGTGAAAAGCCCATCTGGGGACGGACATTGCAAATTAGCCTTGGCTATAAATGTTGTAGTGTGGTGCATGTTGATTGTTCCCACTTGTTCCTATCAAATAAAATAAATTTAAAAAAAAAATGGAAGAACAGTATTGTTTGCAGTGGCCTTACCCAATTTTTCTGTGTCAAGCACAGCATGTGAAAGAGAAGAAAACACACAAACAGGTTACTGTATGATTAAAACAGCATTTCCGTTTTAATATGTAACTTAACTATATTTTATTGTTCTGAACATTTTGGATTGTAATTTTTAAAAAGTGGTTCTCTGATATCAGGTCTATCGGATGAATGGCATTTTACATATGAGTCACTAAAACCAATAAACTGAATATTGGGAGCGATGCGTCCCCTCGCTTTCTTGCAGTATCACGTCATGATCTACAGTCTTATTAAAGTAATACGTATCTGCAGTGTGAGTTTAAATGTGGATCGTCTCACCTCTTCTGCGCTTGGCCGTTGGATTGCGGATCCGCTGGAAGCTCAATGATCAGCACACAGGACTGAGCGTGCTCAAACCCTTCCTTGTTGCTGGGAGTTTTAGGTGAGCACTGCGTATCTAGCATGAAGACCTGAAAGAAGAAAATTAATCTAACCATTATAAACAATGAATTATACACAAATAGAGTTTATTAAAGACCCTTTTATAAGGTGTAGATGTTGTTTTTGGGCTCTGCTAGAATATGTTGATTATTCTCCTCATATTCTCCATTGTTGCGGGCAGCTCCTCTCTTCCCAGTCTGTCAGTAACGCTCTGTTTACTTCCTGTCTCTATGAAGCCCCTCCTTCTGAAAAGCACACTGTGCTCTGATTGGTTGGCTGGATCAGTGTGTTGTGATTGGTTAAGCTCTTTGAGTGTGTTTGGGAAATTTCCCGCCCCTACAGGTGAGACACCACTTAATCACCATGAAACTTTCCCAGTTGATTACCTACATTAAGATTATTGCAAGTTTTCTGTAATTTAATGTTTAAATATGCAAATTAGGCATTATCTAATTAAATATGTGCTAATTTGCATATATTAAAAAACATATTGGGTAAAGCCAGGTTCAAAATTACTTTTTAATTGTGTTCACATATTAGATGGCAAAAATTACAGAGGGATTTATGGATATCTACTTTTGTTATCCTGTAAATCCGAATATACTGTCAGTAGCCTTAAAAAAAAAAGATTTTCGCCATGTTTTTTGTAATAAAATGTTATATAAATCAGGTTAGGAATAATAATATATTTACAAATCCCTCAGTAAATGTCTTCATGATATAACTAGATACAAGACTGGAAGGTTTGGTGTGTATCGGTGCTACTGAAGTGGAGATTTCAGACTTGGAGTATGAGAGAAAAGTCATTTTGAGAAAACTGGCTATAAAGATTTAGCATCAGCCAATGAGATCGCGCATTTAGAGTTAAATCCCCCCTTTTACTTTCACGATTGGTTGCTGATAAAAAGGAAATGACCATATTTGGATCATTTGGACAGCTTTGTACAGGAGTGGTGTGTGCGATGACAGGGTGCAGATCGCGATCGTGGAGCGATCTTTTGATGAATTTATGAGAAATCTACAGACAAAGTGTAGTAAAATAAAGACCGAAATGTGTATTTCGGACTTTTTTCACCACAAGTCTGAAAGAAGACGTGTTATTGAAGACAAATATCCCAAAATCGCAAAATTGACGAGTGAAAAAAAAAACAATGTTTTTGTCTGCCGTGTCTCGCCTTAACATAACCGTAAGTTTCAACCATTGACTGTAAAAAAAGATGGACGACGCCCCTTCGCTCTTTTTCATCAGAGGGACATGACGCTGACATCTTGGGACGTGAATCTGCGCACTTGCATTTTCGGGACCAGACATGCGCAGTCGTGAGCAGGAAGTAAACCCGCGAAATCAAAGGCCCCGCCCTCATTCTTGCTGAATCAAACGCAAGCACACGCCCCACACTTTCATTAAGAGTCCTCTGTCTGCTTCGTTCTTCTCCAATGATGTCTGCTGATTGCAGAACCTCGTTAAAATAAGGTAAATACAACTACTAACCACATAATCAACATTATTAAAAAAAGTCCGCTGGTCCTTCAGTGACTACCTCACACAGAGAACCTGTCAATCACATCTGTCAATCATGATGTCAGAGCACCGTTTTATAGCATCACATAACTAACGAAAAACAAACTTATTTTAAAAACACTCACACTCTTGAAATTACATCGACGTGATAGAAACTACAGTAAATGACAGAAACTATCTTTGGATAAAGGATATGTGAAGTAATTTAATTGTTTAGTTGGTCTCGCGTCTCGTTGAATAACATGGGGAGGCGGGGGTTATGAGCTATACTAGGACCGGTCACAGGGGGGCGATCGAGGCATTTTAGTTTCACTTTTGAGGGCTTGTGCGGCACGCTTGGTTTCAACACACTTCCAGGCCCCGTCCCTTTCTTCTGCGTATTATGAGCTATGACATGAGGTGAGTGAGGTGCGCAGGTGTACCTGTTGAGCCATGGCCCGGATCCGCATGAACTCGGCCTCTGCTGACGGAGTGTGTGACGGGGCCGCGACTTTCACTTCACACGCGTCTCCAGTGAAACTGTCCGAACCCGCTCCGGAAACAAGCCAGCAGATTCTGCCAGAGAAGAGAAGGGATTCAGAAAACAAGAATAAGGAAACGCTCGAGTCTTCATGATTTAATTTCCACTTTTTTTTAGAAGGAATGCATGTTCATAAATACAGATTAAAGGGATTAATTTTTGGCGTGTTTTAGCTTACCTCAAGGGCATCCAAGATGTAGGTGTCTTTGTTTCCACAGTATTTTCAATTTTGATATTTTTAGGTCAAACCGTTCGTGTCTTTCAGTCATATAATGGAGGTCTATGGTCACCACCTCAAAGAGCATGCACAGAGAAGTCCAAATTAAACATGCTTTAATGACTCGTAAATGTAAGTACACATTGATGGCCTAAGACACGAAACGAGCGGTTTGTGTGAGAAAACAAACAGTATTTATATCGTTTTTACCTCGTGTAATCCAAGTGACGTCCAAGTGATCTGAATCAGTTGTGCAATGTCCAACTGAACCGAACTGAATCAGTTCAATGTTACGCCGGAAGTGATCGCTTGCGTGTGACGTCACTCAATATTTACACAATATTTACATATTTATAACATTGAATATAAAATGAACATGTCTCGTATATAGAAATAGTTTTAAGTGATAAAATATTTGCTTTGTTGTGCATAAGAACCACACCAGACATTTAGTCATATTACAAAATCATTTATTGAAGCATCCAGATAGTTCACCGCGTGAGTAAGCAGCTAGGCTCCTGATTGGTTAACGTGGCGCGAATTGACGCCAAAGTCCAGATTTTTCAACTCGGGCGGCAGATGCAAATTCGCATCAAACACGTCAAATCATTCACGCGTAACGCGCCAGACGCTCAATTCAAATGATTTGACTATTCGCGTCCGGTGTGAACGCACCATAAGTCGCTTTGGATAAAAGCGTCAGGTAAATGAATAAATGTAAATGTAAATCTCGAGCAGCAGCAAAACTGACAGGGTTATATATATATATATATATATTGTTTGCACATGAATAATTCTTCAATAAAAACAAAACAAAAACACAAAAAAACTTGTTTCTGCGTCTTCTTCTCCTGTGTTTTGATCTAGAGATTCTGCACTCTTTCAGAAGATGCGTAATAGCGCCCCCTACCATTTACAATTTTTACAATTGGAAGCTGTATTAAAGGATTAGTTCACTTTTGAAAAAACTTTTGCTGATAATTTACTCACCCCCATGTCATCCAAGATGTCCATGTCTTTCTTTCCTCAATCGAAAAGAAATTTAGGTTTTTGATGAAAACATTCCAGGATTTTTCTCCATATAATGGACTTCAATGGGAACCGGATGGTTCAAGGTCCAAAAGACAGTTAATAACAGTTTCAGATGCAGCTTCAAATGTTTTTAAACGATATCAGACGATGAATAATCATGCGAAACGATCGGTTATTTCAAAGCTTATTCCAAAAATGTAACTTTTCTAAGGACAAATGCTAGCCTTTCTCCATTCTGTGAGGCGCGTTTGTAACGTCACGTAGTACGTAATTACGTTCAAAAGGTCACGGGCGACGTAGCCGGAAGTACAGAGTCAGAGTGTTTACAAGTAGAACGCATAGGTTGAACGTGAAAACTAACTCAAACGCCGTTTACAAAAAAAGGAATTAAAATTTAAAACAACGATGTCGGACGATTTTGATTCTGTACTTCCGGCTACGTCGCCCGTGACCTTTTGAACATAATTACGTATTACGTGACGTTGCAAACGCGCCTCACAATATATTACAAGGCTAGCATTTGTCCTTAGAAAAGTTACATTTTTGGAATAAGTTTTGAAATAACCGATCGTTTCGCATGATAAGACCCTTATTCATCGTCTGGTGTCGTTTAAAGACATTTGAAGCTGCATCTGAAACTGTTATTAACACTATCTTTTGGACCCTGAACCATCCGGTTCCCATTGAAGTCCATTATATGGAGAAAAATCCTGGAATGTTTTCATCAAAAACCTAAATTTCTTTTCGATTGAGGAAAGAAAGACATGGACATCTTGGATGACATGGGGGTGAGTAAATTATCAGCAAAAGTTTTTTCAAAAGTGAACTAATCCTTTAATACAGCTTCCAATTGTAAAAATTGTAAATGGTAGGGGGCGCTATTACGCATCTTCTGAAAGAGTGCAGAATCTCTAGATCAAAACACAGGAGAAGAAGACGCAGAAACAAGTTTTTTTGTGTTTTTGTTTTGTTTTTATTGAAGAATTATTCATGTGCAAACAATATATATATATATATATATAACCCTGTCAGTTTTGCTGCTGCTCGAGATTTACATTTACATTTATTCATTTACCTGACGCTTTTATCCAAAGCGACTTATGGTGCGTTCACACCGGACGCGAATAGTCAAATCATTTGAATTGAGCGTCTGGCGCGTTACGCGTGAATGATTTGACGTGTTTGATGCGAATTTGCATCTGCCGCCCGAGTTGAAAAATCTGGACTTTGGCGTCAATTCGCGCCACGTTAACCAATCAGGAGCCTAGCTGCTTACTCACGCGGTGAACTATCTGGATGCTTCAATAAATGATTTTGTAATATGACTAAATGTCTGGTGTGGTTCTTATGCACAACAAAGCAAATATTTTATCACTTAAAACTATTTCTATATACGAGACATGTTCATTTTATATTCAATGTTATAAATATGTAAATATTGTGTAAATATTGAGTGACGTCACACGCAAGCGATCACTTCCGGCGTAACATTGAACTGATTCAGTTCGGTTCAGTTGGACATTGCACAACTGATTCAGATCACTTGGACGTCACTTGGATTACACGAGGTAAAAACGATATAAACACTGTTCGTTTTCTCACACAAACCGCTCGTTTCGTGTCTTAGGCCATCAATGTGTTCTTAAATTTACGAGTCATTAAATCATGTTTAATTTGGACTTCTTTGTGCATGCTCTTTGAGGTGGTGACCATAGACCTCCATTATATGACTGAAAGACACGAACGGTTTGACCTAAAAATATCAAAATTGAAAATACTGTGGAAACAAAGACACCTACATCTTGGATGCCCTTGAGGTGACCTAAAACATATCAAAAATTTATTTCAAAGTGAACTATCCCTTTAACACACATTTTTATAATATACACATACAGTCTGCATGCACATTACACACACACTGTTTATCTATCTATCCATCCATCTATATATAACTATCAATCCATATCCATCCATACATTGAGTATAAATATATATATTCACACTCAATGCTCAAACACACACACAAAATGAATGTATGATGTCCAGCCGAGGAGAATCGACATCACACTTAATTCAAATATTATTAAAAACTGGTTAAATTAAAAACTTTTATTTTAGAGTTGTTATTATTAAAAACTGGTTTTGTACGCATATTGTAAAGGTAGTTGTGCTTAAAGTTGATTGTTTTATTTGTGATAAAGCAATGAATCA